ATTTTTTGTAGTCTCACCTATGATCTAACCCAGAGAATATTCTTTTTGCCACTGATAAGTGCAATTATCTTGCATCTGTTCTAAGGAATTTCTACAAATATATATGAGGTTCATTTGATCTAGAGTCCAATTTAAATCTGAAGTATATTTTTTCACTTTCTGTCTGGATGATATTTCTATTCCTGTAAGTGGGTATTGAAGTTAAGAACTATTTTTCTATTCCAGGTCTTCCTATATATAATATATTATATATAATTAAATTATCTGTATAAATGTGTTATATATGTTAAAAATCTGTTATATGTATACACACATATACATATATGCGTACATATATATGTTACAAATGTGTTGTATGCATGCATATATACAAAGATATATATATATACACATATATATTTGTTGTTTTTGTTACTGCAGCTTCTTTCTCTCACTTTCAGTTTTAATTGCTATAGCACTCATGATGGGATGGATAGGTTGTATAAAAGATTGCAATATCTCGGTAGCACAGCAAAATAAAAGTTTATTTCTCATTTACACACCATTGCTCTCCTAAGAGGCTGTGCATATGGATCACTGCATCTGCATTCCAGAAAGCTGCTGGGCAGAGAAAAACATCTTATCAGCAACATTACTGACCTCATAATAGAAACAGAGAAATTAACAAAGCACACATTAGTCTTACTAGTCTTATTTCTGCTGCTCAGAAATTGCATATTTCATTTCTGTTCATCTCACTGGCCAAACCTATAAGCATGGCTGAGTTCAGAAGAATGGAGTGCTCCATTGTCATATTCCCACAGGGAAGTGTGGATATGGATATTGTGAAATAGATTAGATATGATAAGTTTTCAATGTCTTCATTACAGATGAGAAAACAAAGTTTAAAAAATATGATATTTATACATGATGGAGTGCTACTCTGCCATAAAGGAGGATAGACTGAGTCATTTGTAGGAAAAAGCATGCACCTTGAGATATAATTAATATTATGAAATACATCAGACACACAAGTTAAAGTTTCACATTGTTTCTCTTATATGAGAAAGCCAGAGTAAAAAGAAAAAGCAGAATAAAAGATACATAATAGGAATGGCATTGTTTCTCTTATATGAGAAACCCAGAGTAAATCTGAAATGAACAGACATTTCTCAGACAAAGAAGTGGAAATAGCAAATAAACATATGAAAAAATGCTCAACGTCACTGCTCATTCTAGAGATGCAAATGATAACAACGCTGAGATTCCACCTCACCCCATAAAGAATGGCTGCTATCATGAAATCAATAACAAATGCTGGTGGGGCTGTGGGGAAAAAGGAAACCTTTTCCACTGTTTGTAGGAGTGTATACCGGTGTAACCACTGTGGAAATCAATTTGGAGATACCTAAAAAAACTAGAATTGGAGGTCCCATTTGACCCAGCTATTCCCCTGCTGGGTATCTTCCCAAAAGAAAGAATCATACCACAGCAATATATGTGAACCCATGTTCATAGTGGCACAGTTTGCAATAGGTGAAATTTGGAAGCAGCCCAATTGACCATCGACTGGAACCCAGATAAAGAAAATATGTTTTTTTTAATAAAATGGAATACTACTCAGCTATAAAAATGAGAAATTAGAGACATTTATAGCTAAGTGGATGCACATTGAGGCCATACTTCTCAGTGAAATAAATAGGACACACTTGTAAATACTGACTAGTTTCTCTGTTGTGAGAAACTGAAAGTGTAGATAAGGATCAAAAGGTATAATAGATAATGTGAAATAGGAAGAAAAGGTGCATTGGGGAATTGGGAGGGATAGGGGAAAGGAAAGAAGGGAATGGAATTAATATGAGAAAGTTAAAAAATGGAAACAAAGTCTTTGTAAATAGGGAGGGGAGGAGGGGTTGAAGGGAGGGCAGGAGAATGGGGGAAAAATAAGAACCGAGATAGATTATGTAAAGGTACAAATTTCCATGATGAGTGTCAATATATTGCATACCTAAAATGTACAAATAAAATAAAAAAGAGCAAAATAAAAGAAAGATTATAAGAAATAGGGAGATCTTTCACAAAGGGAAAGGGTAATAAGACATGGAGTGATGAGTGGAGGGAGAGAAAGGAGATGAAAAAAGGAATTGAGGTGTGTTATGTACATGTACTAGCTCCACAGAAGAAATGGAAATATTATGTTCTGCAAACAAGTTCTAATAAAAAAATTAAAAGTGAATTTTCTACATCAAGACCATTCAGTAGAATTTTCTGCTGTGATAGACATTTATTTGCCTTTCTGCTGTGATAGACATATATTTGCCTTTTCAAATATAATACCTGTACAGTAGACAGTCAGACAGTAGAGCAGTGGAAGTTTAACTAGAGTGATGAAAAGACAAAGATTTAATTTTATAGAATTTAAATTTAGGGGCCGGGGATTTAGCTTAGTGGTTCCGGCTCCTGCCTTGCAAGTGCAAAGTCCCTAGTTCGATCCCCGGTACCAAAAAAAAAAAGAAGAAAAAAGAATTTAAATTTAACTATAAATATGCAAATCCTTAATAGAAACAACATTGTCATCCAGTGGAGGTAAAGGATATGCAAACAGAGAGAGGCAAAATCTGAACTCAGACACTGCGCCTAAAGAAAGGACAGTACTGTCCACATGGTTATGCTACTCTTCTTGTTGTCATAGGACCCTTTCAAAATATAAACTGTAAGTGTATAGGACTTTGTCATATTTTTAATCTTTGTATCCCATATGTAAAAAATCTCCCCAAGTGATAAATAAAGATGCATATATTTTATTTTCATGAGCTTACATAAAGACTAAGAACCAACTTATACACTTTGTCAGGCCAAAAGTCATACTGAGCCTTCTGGATGGGAGATTCACTGTGATTGGGGAACAGGTTCTCTGACCTCATGGTGCTTGAATATCATTCATTTATTAAAACAATCATTTGAGTTATGTGTTATTCTTTCATATAACAAATGAAAAAGTATAAGAATGGAGAAATGACACATCTAACTTTAAATACAGCTAAATGACATAAAATGGACTCAAATGAGCCTCTCAAGTTCATAGTGTGCTCTCTGAACAGAGTGCAAGCATTGCTATCTTCTCCCTCATTTAATGCAGAATCTATGGGAGACAAAATTCAAACTGTCCATTTTTCTCTGAAGATATAAAGAAATAGAATACATATCTAAACCCTCAAACTTTCCACTTGCATCTGATGAAACTGACTTCCATGCTACCTAACCCAGGCCACTGAGAGGACTTCACACAAATAAACTGCTGGGCTCACCAAGAACACAGAAAAAGGTCCCTATTCTCAAGCAAAGTAGATCACACTAAGGGAAAACAGTGAATAGAGCTACAGAGAAATATCTTCATTTGGCCCACATCATCTTGATTGATCCTATTTACCCTAAGCATCTGAAGCCTACTCACCTCTCACAGTACCTCAAAGTAAATGTCTCCATGCTCTGTCCTTAGCCTCTCCTCAATCTGTACCCCTCACTGTCCTGCCCTCTGTGTCTGAGAGCAGCAGGGAGTTCTTTGGCACATCTTTTGCACCATTGAACCTCACTTTGTTGCATTTCTATGTCCATATTCACACTATCTTCCACGTCGATGTGTCTGACAAATGCACATCTTTTCATCAGGGTTAAGAAAAAATTTTGATTTCTACACTTTTGGAATAGCCTCTATATTTTTCTAGCTTCAGTTTTGGTTTGCGAAGAGGATGCATACCTGAACCACAGGATTTTCTTTGAGTCTTCAGATCTTCCTGTGCCACCTGTTGAAATGTTGTTTCCTTCTAAGTTCACAGGGATATTTCAGAAAGTATCAAAATCATCTATGCAAATGCCACACACCAGTTTTTACTTTTCAATGTTTGGCCATGCTCTTGTTTATCCCACTTGTATCATTGGTTCAGCAATATGCAATGTGCACAAATCTCGCTGATTGATTTGAAGAACACTGTGACAGTAGAGCTGCCTAAACCAACCAAGAACTTAGTCAATTAAAATTAAGACATGCGGTGAGAGTGAGGCGGCTCCATGGCTGTCAGAAAGCTCACATAACATCAGTTGGGTGGGTAGAAGACTTCCTAGGAGAATTCCAAACCTGTTTTGTGTCAGATTCAGTGAAAGCTACTGCGCTGGCTCTCACAACTAGAGCTGTTTTTAGGCTGTAGAGTTTCAAGGTTGCAGTGTATCTGGGCAGTAAACTGGGGATAAGGAAGTTAAACACACACAAAAACAAACAAATCTTATTTTTACAGAGATTCCTCTTTCTTGTTACTCTTTTAAGACAATGATAAAATAAAATCTTGGCATTTAAGGTCAGAGCTATCCCAGTCACCTTAATGGCTGTTTCTTTCAACTCCCTTTTGGTAGATTATTGCTAATCACTTGTCATCTTTTCTTTGGTTGTAGTAATTTTTCTTTCTGATCCCCATCCCTAAAATGTGGGCACTGGACATCTGAGAAAACCTTCACAAACAGTCAAATTCATAAAAGGTTTTATCTCCTATTTAATTTTATATTATTTCTCTCTAATTACAGTGTTTTTTCTAACGCATTTCTTGAATTTGAAGATTTCTCAAGTCAAAAGTAAAGCAATATTCTAAGGTTGTTCACTGAAAACAAATTCCATGTGACATAATGAGAAGTGTCTTGAGTCCCACAGTTAGAACCTGGAAAGGAGAATGAATCTGCAACACTAATAATGACAATTCCACAGATTAGCATGGGACTACATGAACTATGGTAGTATTTGCATCATTCCACCTCTACCTTCTATAGGAAACTGGCCAGGCAACCTGTTCTTCAGTGAGTTCTTAGCAGGATTCAGAATGTACATGGGTCTGTACTTTTAATTTTTTGTTAAATTAATATTTTCTTCCTGTTTGGGACACCACAAACTTTCTAGGAGCTATGTGACAGTCTTGACAGTAGATGAGAAAAAAGAGTTTTTGTCTCATTTCCCCATTTATCCGGTTCATCGTGCTTTACCCAGTGCTATGACTTACACCACAGATATAGTCAGCTTCATCCTCAGACTGGAGGTTGGAGATGGTTAAGTAGCGGTCAGCCCCTGAGCTGGAGCCTGAGAATCGATCAGGGATCCTATCCCCCTTGTTGTAGTTTCCACCACTGCCAACATACATCACATAAACAGGGGATTGCCCTGGATGCTGCTGAAACCATGCAATGGTGTAGCTGCTGTGCTCATTGCTCAGAGTGCAGGTGAGCTTGACTGAGGCTCCCAGAGAAGCAGAAGCAGAGGGTGACTGTGTCAGCACAGGCTGGCAGAAAGACCCTGAAAATACAGACACACATTATGACCTGGAAAAAGAAGCAGAGGAAACAATTCTGGTACTAATTTAAGAGGCAGTGCCACTGAGCTGGGGACCAGAGTGATGAGGACCTTGCTGACCTGTACAGTAAAGGAGGAGAGTAAGGAAGAAAAGAGGGGTCCAGGCCATGGTTCCAGGCCACCAGAGTTCTGGTGAGGAATCCAAACTGCTGCAGGGTCTCTTATCCTACCCTCAAGTCCCAGAAGAGCAAGGATGCCCTACATGCAAATTTTCCCTTCTTCTCCTAACCAATCAATTTCATCCATGGTCCTGTGTTGACACTGACATCTGCTGTCAATTTGGGAGGGGTGGACCTGGGCGGAGCCTACTCTGAGGCTTCACAGAGGCACAAAGAGGCTTCTAGACCCAGTGAGCCCTGGGCAGACACCAGGAGGCAGGTGTTTGGTGCCTTTCGGATCTCATGGCTGTGTCCCAACATTGTGCAGTGTCTCCCAGGCACAAGCCCATTGGGTCTACAGTAGATGATCAGTAGTCATACAGCTGCCTCCACCAAGATCTTCTCCACTGCCTCCTCTATGCACAAGAGCAAACCACAGCCACCTCCAGGGGAAATCTGCTATCTTGTCTCAGTCTTTAATTTCCTGTTTGAGATTCCTTGGTTAGAACAAAGCACACAATTCATCCCACCTTATAAGGAGGGCAGGTTCTTCCCATGTACAAACTTAACATGAAGTAAAGAGTACATTACTGGAGCTCATGGACAGGTCAGCCATGGACCCATAACCTAAATTGTTCTTCAAGCCAGGTTTCTCGTTTTCTACCTGACTTCTCATAATATTGGACTAGAGGAGGCATATTAGTAGTGAGTGTTTCAGAGAGCAAGTGAGAAGATTCTATGAATAATTGTATATATTAAAAATGAGAAAATCCTAGGAAAAAAAGCAGAGGTACAATTGGAATTATAAAAGAAAACACTGGACCTGGGGTGTCTTCTGAAGTAAGCCATTGGAGAAGTTTCAAATAGAAGAGGAGATATATGGTTTTAAGAACGAAGGAAAAAAATCTCAAAAACTTTCCCTGGTTTCTCTAAGGTAAAAGACATAGTGAGGAGGAGATATGGAAGAAGGGTGATAAGGCAAAGAGAGACCCAAGAACCAGAGAAGGGACATCAGCCTTTCAGATGTAGGAGAAACCATTAGGGAGTTTATATGAGTGCTATCCAGGAATTCAGGTGAAAATGAAATTTGGTGTGTGTGTGTGTGTGTTCCTTTCTGTTTGTGCTTTTTAAAAACAATGGAGCCACTTCCAGCTTTTCTCACATGTCCCTTTTGGTGGTCCCTGCATGAAATCATGGATTTTTTAAAAATTAGAAATCTTATCTATCTCTTTAACAGTTGACCCTGGCTTCTGTCTGATAATGACTTCTGATTTATTTTAAGCTATTCTCTGGAATTTGGTGATACTAAGGTGTGGATTTGCAATATTTGGGAAAGGGAACATTTAGAAATGCAGAATCTCAAGCCTCATCCCAGAATACTGATTCAAAATCCATATTTTACAAGATAGTAAGAGGAAATGCATCTTAATCTCAGAGAAGCACTAGTTTGATGTAGGCACAGGGATTCCGCTGTGGTTTTAGCGACATGGTTTAGAAGAGATATGTACATGTACCAAGTCCTCATAGTGAATATATTCATTATGTTCCATACATGCACTAATAAAACAGGAAGAAAATCCATACAAAACAGAAGGAATGTCAAGTGAGGATGAAGTATAATTCCTCATTTGTCTATGTACTTTATACCCTACCGAACTATGCAGCAAACAAACATCTTGATGCCCATTTTGCACATTAGAACCCTGGCTAAGGTACACACGTGTTCGTATTCCAAATGATAAGTATCTTCCACAAAGTTCACAAAATTTACAAAATAGTCCAGAATTGTTTTTTTTTAAAGCAACAGGATCTTCACATATTCACCTGTTTACCTCTAGATTCCAGTCAGATATTGGAATTATGTAAAAGCTATGATTTTGCAATAAAAGAAATAATCTTAGTAATATTAAAGGAGTAATTATATATTTGAATTCTTAAAAACAACAGTTTCTTATTTTAACTTAGGATCATACACTTAAATAAATTATAGGTCAAGATAAGAAATCCATGCAAATTCCTGAGTCCTTGGGGTATTGGTTTCCCGAAACTATCATAAAATGTGCCACAAACTATGTGATGAATTATAACAGAAATTTAATGTTCCATTCCCAGGCGTGGAAAGTATCTACCAAAATCTACACACAGTGCTATATTCCCTACGACACCTCTAAGAAAATGTTTCCTTCTTCTTTCTGGGTCCCAGGTGCTGGTGGACCATCCTTTGGTGATCTTTGGCCTTGTGCTTTATAATTCCAGGTTATGCCTCCAATTTCACTTGACCTTCCTTCTGTTTTGGAAGTATTTTCTTCCTGTTTATTAGTACATGTTTGCAACATATAATGAATATATTCACTATGAGGAATTGGTGCATATACATATCACATCTAAATCTTTTTACTTCCCTTTGTCTTCATGTCTCTTCTTTCTCCCTCCATCCTTAGATGCCTTTGCCTTCTCCAAAATGTTTACCTCCCTGTTTAATATCATCTGTCTTTTATTTTATTCTTTAAATTATTTATACTTTGGGTTTTTCATGTAAGGGAAATACAATACAATACAACTTTATGTGTATGGTTTATTTCACTTGGTATTATGGTCTCATGGGTGCTTCTTTATGTGGACACTCAGTGCAATGAATGAGGAGACTATCTTACTCCAGTACTCATTTAATGATATCTGAAATGACACTATTTTTAATAAGGTCACAGTCTGTGGACTGAGGAATCACCAAATTAATATGACATTAGAAAAGAAGAGTTCTTCCCAAAATAATAGTTTTAAAATATTTTATAATTGGTATACAAAGAGGTTATATGCAATATAATTAAATTTAATGAAATATACTTTATCAGTAGTAACAGTAAAAGTTTTGTTAACAATGCTTTTAAACATCCCTAAAGATGCTTTACCCTTGAGGACATGTATTGACCTTATTCCTCACTTCTGGTTACTGGTACTATTCTGTACTGTTGCCATTTTTTGGCAAAATTATATTTTTTGTGGAATACTTCAAAGAATCCCCAAATTTATTCAACTTTAGCACTCAAACAGGAACAGGTATCAAGACAGTTCTCTTTGGCTTTCTCTCTAAGGATGGTCACTGGCTGCCCAAGAGCTCAGGGCCTGATCATACATTTTCAATATCACACGATCCAATTTGTATCCAGCCACACTGAAAAGTATTTTACATCTTGTTTCTCCATCTGGATCTCACTGAGTTGATCATCACTCCATTATCTCATGCAGTAGTATTCAGCCACAGCCTCAGGCTGGTCTGCTGAGATGGACAGGTCAACTTCTTCTCTAAAGTAGAATCCTGAATACCTAACAGGTTACCAGGAAGGCTTGCTGCCTATATCATAAACCAGTGTCCTGAGATTGACCAGGCTTCTGCTAGCACTAGTATGGAAAGGAAGCATAAAAAAGCAACAGCTCCAGATAAGAGTGACTGTCCCTCCTGCAGATAGTGTCAGTGAGAGATCTAGGGTCTCTACAGCCAGAGAAGTGAACCCTGAAATGAAAACAAACACATTAGGGATAAGAAAGGACACAAGGGTCACTTCAAGGCTGACCTCTGAAATCTCCATTACCTAGCCAGAGAGTAAGAAAAAAAGAAAAGAGCTGTCCAGGCCATTCTGTGGACTTTCCAAGGATTCTCAGGATCCATAGCTGCTTCTGGCTATAGCCTGCCTTTGTCTCCTCTTCAGCCTTTTGTGTAGAGTGTGTTCTTGGGTTCTACATTATGAAAATATGAGCCATTGACAAACACAAACAGCATCAATTTTCTGTTGTGGTCACTCCAGGGTACAAATCCTCCATCAGGGAAGAGTGTGAGCTCTGAATTTGCCTCATGGGAGGAAGCACCTGCTGTAACCTCTAACTCAGGCCAGTGAGCACAGCCCAAGCCATGAACTGTGAGCCATGTCAGTCTGTTTCACGCCTTGTCAATCTCTGAAAAGAACCACAGCGCCCCCTGCTGTGCTGAGATAATAATTTTACCTCTTTCTCCAGTGTTAAATATCTTCTCTAATATTTGAGTGTTAGTTTCACAGTTTCCTATTATTGGGCCCCACAGAGTTTCACTGTACTTTTATTTATTATAATAAATAAATAAGTATATAATAAATAAATATCCAGCTCTGTAATATGTATTTGCTTAGCTTTTAACATTTCTATTTCTTTTCTGAGATTTGCTCCTCTTTCATTTGCTTCAAGAATATCTGAAATTGCTAATCAATGGAATTCAATGATTGTCCCTTTAAAAAAATTTACCACCAGTTTTAGAAGTACTTCATCTAAAAGTTTCATTTTAATTTTATTTATTACACTTTTAATTCTATAATTTATTTTTGGTTTTCTATTATGGCTTCTGTTTCTTTTCTGAAATTTGTTCCTTTCTCATTTGTTTCAATGATATTTGAAATTGCTTATCAATAAAATTCAGTGATTGCTTTGAAAAAAATCAGACACACAAGCTTAAATATCACATAGTTTGTCTCATATTAGAAACCCAAAATACAAATAAAGAGCAATATAAGAGACAGATAATAATAAGTAGGGAGGTAGACCTTTCCCAAATGTTATGGGAACCAACCAACGGAGGGAAGGAAGAAAGAGGAAGGAGGGAGGAGGAAAGGAATTATGATGTGTTACCTTCATGTGCCCAGCACCTGCAAGGAATGTGAACATCATGTACTACAAACAAAAATAATTACATAAAAATTCTGCCACACAATTTCAGCACATATGTAACTTAAGTGTAAGTGGCTATGAATTATCAATGCCTATCAATGCCTATCTAAGTTGGGATTTTCTTAGTGTCTAATCAAAGTGATTTTTTAGACTTGTTTCTTAGCTATTTGTAACATTATTTTGGGGAATTCCATGCAGGAAAGTCAAGAGATCTGGAATAAGAGCCTGTTTGAGAGCCTTGGTTTTGAGATAGTACCTGTTTTGTGTGCCGTGGTTTTCAGTATTAATTTTCAGTTTTGCTTTCTAAGGAAAAACGGGACACCCTTCCTTCAGGAAACGCATAGTTTCAGTTATTTCAATGTCATGTTTTGGCAGGCATGAGTCAACTGCTGTTTGCTCTCCATCTGCTGAAAGACTCCAGAGGCCACACGTCTCTCTTGCACTATCTTACCATTTTTCTTAGAAGTTGGCCAAATGTGCCTTAGTGTTAATTATGACTTTAGAAAGGAGAATGCAGGTCAGAATTGACCACCAAGACTGATATTGAAAGTGCTTTTCGGGCCGGGGATTTAGCTCAGTGGTTCTGCCACCTGCCTCAAAAGCTCAAGGTTCCAAGTTCAATCCCCAGTACCAAAAAAATAAGTGCTTTTCATCACTCTGAGGCCCAGAGAAGAAATCCTGTGATTGGCCAGAAGTCAGGTTCCGAAGAAGACATTTGGTTCAGAATAAAGGACTGGGGCTTATCTCAATTCCTCTATGTTACTTCTCCACCTCTTTCCACACTGTTGTGATGGTTCGTATGCCACCAAGCCCATTGTTATCCGGGATAGATTATTTTTGAGCCATTCTCAGCTACGGTTGATTTTTCTTCATTCCTGGAACCTGAGGACTGTTCAGGAAGTGCAGGACCTCATTTTTTGTGTTTCCATTAAACCCTAGTAATGATATGAGTCTCAGAAATATCACCATGAAAGGGAGGTTTGGGGAGCATCTGCTTAAGATTTGTTCTAGAGGGGACTGATATAGGGTAGGGATCTGGCCTCTAGTTCTGAGGTCTGTCCTTACTTGTCCAGTGAGAGAGGAGAACAGGTGTCCAGGCCATAGTGGACACAGCACCTTCTTAAGCCACACACTCATGCTGGCCTGTACCTGGTCTCTCTTGAAGCCCCACTGGCCTCACAAAGGACAGGCTGCTCAGAGAATTGTATCCCCACCATCATACTCTCTCCCCCTGTGCTCTCACAGGTTTGAACCTCTGAGACAGAGGCTGGCCTCATGCATTAATTTGCATAAGAACATAGCTTCTGAGACCACGCCCAGGTCAATGTGCAGAGGCCTTTGCTGGGTTCAAAAACAGAGTTGTTCAAGTGCCCACATGAAGCAAAAGGCTCAGCCCTGGGACCTTGTGTCAAGTGAGTCACTGAACTGTGAGTTCTAGCCTGAGGAAACGCCTGGATGTGGTCTAATTGGACCCCCTGCTAATCTAAGAGCAAATCACTTCTTTCACAATACTCTAACTCACCTTCACTTCCTTCCTGTACTCCCATATTTCAGTTAGGTGAAAGGAATCCCTACCAAGGACAGTGGAGTGTGGTTCCTGTGTGGCCTCCACTGACGCCATTTTCTGGGGACTGTGGTCTAGTGCGGGAGCACATGTGGAATCAGGAGACTCCATGAATAACTCTGGAGCTAAGGGCAAGATGCCTGGAGCAGAGACAGAGTGGATCTGTCCAAGTAGATTGCTGAAAGCAGTAAATGGTCAGTTTTGTAGCACGTGGCCAGACAATGTATCAGCCTCTACTGGGAAATTATTGTCCCTCTGGTCTATTTCCCCTGAATGGATTGTGCATGTCAGCCTGTTCTGGCCTTCAATTGGGAGGTCACAGGTTCTAGAATTCTTCTTTGGGCAATGAGAGAAACTCTTCCTTCAGCTTTGTCAGGAGACTCTGCTTCGGAGCCTGGCAAGGACCACAATTAAATTACCTTTTTCATAAAAGCAAAAACACTGGAACATTTGTGTTTTGACATTGAGGATGAGTTATTTTCAACCTACACTAGTGGGAATATTTTTACTGTCAATTGCACTACCTGTATAAACAACCAAAATATAAACTAGGAATTTTAAAAGGTAGATAAGAGTAACATACCATTTCAATCATATACATATATCAATAATATATGATGACATTTCCTTCCTGTTGTCCATTACTTCAGCATAAATCTTTATAGTGTTCTTTTCTATGGATATAGCAGGAAAATAAATCAACCTCAAATTTCTTTTTTAAAACAATTTTCAACTTTCCTATTTTCATTTTTTCACACCGCTTATGGTTATTGCAGCACTATTTCCGACAGTCAAGGTTTTATTTCTTCGTTTGTTTTTAACCAGAACATGTTAGTGTACATAACGTTTACATTCCTTGTGGGGAACGGTATATGTATATAATACAAGTTAATTCCTTTTTCCATCCCCTTTCCCACTACCTCCTCCATCTTTCTCATCCCCTTCTTTTTATTTTTTCGTACATTGTTTCTCTTTCATCACTCAGCCCAGCGCTGAAGGCAGTAGGATCTGTACTTCTCCAGTGTAACCTCCACTCTGCCCTTTGTGTCCCGCCTTGGGTGGTCACCTCAGTAGGAGTGTGTCTGGAAGGTGGTCATACATGAGATGGTTTCTAGTAACAGAGATATTAAAAACACACGTACTTAAAAATTCCTCGTAGACTTTGGCTGCAGTTGAAATCAAGTCATTGTTCTTGAATTTGCTTAAATTTTTGAAATTCTATTCTGATGTTTTGGGGATTTTCATTGGACTTTGGGAGAGAGTCATGGAGTTTTATCCTAACTGCATTTTAAATACAAATCTGCAGGGATTATGTCACGATACTAAAAGTAAAGTTGCTTCCCAAACAATAAGGTTCATAAAAATCATTGGTGCACCTTGTTAGTACCCATTCTTTCACACCAACAAAGATTTCTGGTTCAGAAGGTAGGATGAGGAATTGCATTTCTAACTAGTTCTCAGGTAATACTTCCATTTTAATAAGAAATTAATTACCAATTTGATCTCCATAACTAAATTAATAAATAAGGATTCATCCATTAGTTCTTTCTGAATAAGAAGAATCTGAAAAGTAGGTGATGAATTCCGAGTCTCACTGTTAGTTTACGTATTGTGAAAGAGAGCTCGCTCCCTTCATTATCAGCCAGAGAGGAAGAGAGGAAGCACAATTTGGGAGGAGCCACACTGAGAGATAGATGCACCCTGGGAAAAAAAGAATGAGGTACCTGACCAAAAGCCACTGGTTAGGACAAGGGATCGTGTAGCCTCATTTTAGCTATCATGCTGTTGACACTTTTCACCCTTTCTTCTTTTCTCCCGACTGTAAGAGTAAGAGTGAGGCCATTTTGAGCATGCGAAAAAGTTTTGGTTGCACTTCCCCATGGGTTCAGCTCACTGTGCAAATTACCACTTCCCATGTACAGTAAGCAGTAATAATCAGCCTCATCCTCTGGCTGAGCCCCCGTGATGGTAAGGGCAGCTTTGTTCCCAGCGATGGATCCAGAGAAGCGATCAGGGACCCCAGAGGGACGCTTGTCCGTTTGGTAGATAAATAGATGTGGAGCCTGGCCTGGGTTCTGCTGGTACCAGCTAGGGTAGTTACCAGTAGAAACTGACCCAGAGCTAAGGCCACAGTTGAGACTGACTGTCTCTCCTGAAGACACAGACATTGATGGCTCCTGGGTGACCACAGTCTGAGAAACTACTCCTAAAACCGATAAGACAGACAGTTATTATTAAGGAGATAAGTGTCACCCTCAGACCCCATGTTTATGTGGTCTCCCTAAGGATGCAGAGTCCATTTCCCTGACCTGAGCTGAAAGTGAAGATTCCAAGAAGCACCATTGTCCAGGCCATGGTTGGGATTCTCACAAGGACTGAATGTCCTCCAGGCTCCTCAGCTAGAGTTTCGTCTCCCCTGGGCCTTTTCATGCCTCTCCAAAAGCATTAAAAAGGGCAAATTTTCCATGCAAATCAGCTTCCTCTTTATCCCTGGCCCAGTGTTCACCCTGATATCTCTTGAGGGAGTTCTTAAGAGACTGGTGCTGGGACTCCATCTAGGCCAACGCCTACAGGGGGACTGACACTGAGGGGTGAGGCTTGATGCCTTTCATCAGAGCAGCTTCCCCACACCCTTAGGGACCTGAGTTAACAATCTAATCTCTGGAAAGCCTAAGTACTGAGTAATGAGAAAGGTGAACTCCTTTTCTCCTACTGTGTTTATCTGGTTTGTAGCAAAACTAAACTCTTCCCTGTGAGGATTCCTTCCCTTTCCAGGGAAATGAGTGTTGATCCTTCTTGAAGATGATTCCAAGGCCCTCCTTCCCTAGCAGAGGGCCCATTTGGACACCACAGAGCTCTGTCACTTGGGACTCCCTTACGACCTCCAGGGACAGAGGTCACCCATTGTCTTGGTCCTCAAAATCATTTATAGCAGCTGCACCTGGGGTGCAGGGCTAGGATCAAGCCACAAGGAGCAGCACCATGAGGCTTGGGATGATGCCTCCATTTGCAGTATGAAGCCACTGTTTTGTTTTCTTTTTAATTACCCCTTTATCTGCTGACTGCCATTACAAAAACTGATTACATTAGCAACAAAAGGGTCTTGAGTTGATATCAAGCCAGTTACCCTCCCCCAAAGTGTTAAGTAAACCTGTACAACAGTATTAAAATGTTAAATTTTACATTGTCTTACCACTGAGAAGGCATTTATTTTATTAAGTAACTTTAGTGAAACTAAATTTTTTCGAAGAAAGTTAACAATATTACCATTAAATTATGATGTTCCTACTGGCAAGAAAAATAACAGTATAGAAAAATACGTGCCTCGAAATGAGAAATAAGTCTGATACTGTCTCTGACAAGTTAGTATGGACATCCTGGGGATCTTAAAATGCCCTTTCACTGATGTGTCCAGGGGAGGAAGATGATCAGAGTGATGGGTGAGGCTTTGGGGACATTTAGAAGGGTGTCAGGGAGGTAAAATTGTCTACTTTCTTTATGAGACAGAACTTTTAAAAATGGTGCTCATTACAGTAAAAACTAAAACATAATTTGATATTTATTTGTAAAATCCTCATATGTATTTATTAAAACTTTTGATAATTTTCATTTCCTTCTCAGTCATTTATATTGGAAGGGATCAACTCATATTAGACATGAATACTAATTTCAGTGTATGTTTTGGCCAATAATATGTCTGACACAGTATATGCAAACAGATTTGTGTATGTGTATATTTGTGTAATATAGAAAGAAGGAAGAGGATCTGAAATTTAATAAATACAAGTGTTAAATATCTGAAAAAATCTTAATTATAAGTTTCTGCCATTCACTATAAAATATTCTAAAATAAAATGACAAATAACAAATTAGTAAGATATACTCTTTAAAACAGGACAAAGAAAGGCCTAAAGCATTTATCACTTATTTTGTAATATATTTATAGTGACCTGGAAGTAATTGTGATTCTGCATGAATCTCTGAGGTACTTCTGCAGATATCTCAGACATTCTCAAGACACCAAGAGTCAGAGAAGTTATCCGCACTGATAATCTTATTTAAATATTTATACACAGATTTTAAACATTATTTGTACTATAAAACAAGGAGGCAACACAATTCCTGGAAATAATGAGAGATATTTACAAAAAAGGAAGGATTAAATATCTCTGTGCTGGTACTGCTACTGGAGTCCTAGGACACAGGTCTGAGTTGGAGAGGACTGACTCCAAAGGCCCAACAAACTAAGTCTGGCCACTCACCACAGTAAGCCACTGGTGAAGTAGAAAAGGCAGTAGGTCTAGCAGCATCCTAAGAACTATCTGGGAGGTCCTAGTGATACCATGTGTACCGGGCTCGTGGTTCTGCATAGGCCAGGAAATGATGTTGCAAACCAAAGGAGGATGTTTTTTATTGGAAATAAGGAAAAGGAGTATAGCTCCTGGATTTCCAGGAGGGGTCCCAAATGGGTGACCACACCCCTCCCCCCCCCAGCCAATTATAAACAAAGCACAAGATTTGCTCAGCTGTTTAGTGATAACCTATCACAGGTGGCTCTGTGGATTTAAAATGAGCAATTGAGACTCAGGCTTTTAACCCAGTTTGCTAACATGTAGGGTTTATAGGAAACTGAGATCTTAGAAGAAACTGATTGATATTCATTATAATTTCCTCCAAATTTGAGAACTTGGAAGGGAATGCCTGAGTCTCCCTTTAGTAAGGAGTGGACTACATTCTATGCTCCTTGAGAAAATTTATTTTTTGTCTAAAGTCCTAGTTCACTATCTGTTCATAATTTCTTTCCCATTAAGTTTATTGGCACATTTAAGGTATAAAATACAGTTTCCTTCATCATTGGGATCTTGTACCATTACATGAGTATCTTGGTTCTTATTTTTTTCCCCTTCCCTTGCCCTCCCTTCACCCCCTCCACCCTTCCC